TATATATAATATATATATATATAATATATATATATATAATATATATATATATATATATATATATATATATATATATATATATATATAATATGTTCGATGTTTTCTGACTGTGAATTTTTAAAAATAATCTTTTTTATTTTCTGGGTTTGTCGGTCTGATGTAAATAACAATTAAAATTTTTAAAGGTATGGTTTGGCTTTGTTTTGGTTTGGTATTGGAATTGGAGCCACCGAGCGATTGCCGGTTTCAGCAATTCCCCACTTACTGACCAACGATTTCGGGCGGATGAGTTGGTAAGTGGTAGGGCACCCTTTTGTCCTGAGGTTGTGAAATCGGCCTCAAAGGCGGATGAATCAAATATTTTATCATCGGCATAAGGATGGAGAAGCACATGTAGGGCAAACATTCCATTAAAGGTCCAAAGCGATACGACCTAGTCAATCAATCATGGCAATGCTCAATACTAAAATAAATTCCGAAGTAAGTCCTCTGATTGGGTCTCCGGGGAGGCCATTTTTCAGTTTACCAAAAGATAATAAATTCAAGTGTAGAAAGAATATCAAGATCTGCACATGGAATGTCAAAACTTTATACAAAGCAGGCAAAATCCACAATGCATCGATGGCACTGGATATGCTAGCACCCATAGCACATCCATCTGTTTGTTGGAAGATTTTGTTTTTATATTGGAAATAGGTTGACTTTAATGTTGTTTCGACTGCTAGCAGAAATTCTTCTAGAGGGATCTCTGTGAATGCTTTGATTTCATTCCACTTGTTAGTACCGAATTTTTACATGCTTGGTAAGTCAAAAGTTTAACTTTTAAACCGTATTATGTCTGTCATAAAATGTTTTTTAGTCAATATTACTTCTTGAAAAAGGCATGGATTTCCTGCCGAAGCGTCGAAAAAAATATATAAAAATGTCTTAGTAAGAAATTAATTTTTTTTATGAACCTAAGCCCAAGAAAATCCACTGAAATATATATATATATATATATATATATATATATATATATATATATATATATATATATATATATATATATATATATATATATATATATATATATATATATATATATATATATATATATATATATATATATATATATATATATATATATATATATATATATATTATATATATAGATAAAGTTTACAAGATAATTTAAATGTAACTTTGATACCGAAAATTAGTTGAGTCGTATTTCCTGCGAAGAATTTTGCAGAGAACAAAGTTTGGAATTCAAAAAGTCGTGACGCATCTGGTAGATGAAATTTTAGAAACAAAGGAATAACGCCAACATTACAAAGTTAGGATGCAAAGCTTAATTAAATAAAGCAAAACGAAAGAAATGACAGTGTGAAACAGGTCGTGCTGTGTAGTGGAAGTAAGTGTCGGTGACAGCCAAGGGGTTAGAGTAATATGAGTAAAATACATAAAAACGGAAAGTGATGTTTTGTAAAGAGTTAAATGGTATACTAAAAAGAGGCTGGAAAATATTTTAAAATTATAAAATGAGTTTTTAATCCTCAATAGAAATGCATTTATTTTTAATTTCCATTGTTTACGATTCAGTAATAAACGAATTCCTTGCTAAAATACGCTTCTGCATGTTTTTCATTTATCAGCAGCGGCGACTCATTAATTACTAAATGAGGAGAATAATTTTAAAATATATTAGAAGATAAAAGTATGTAAGAAGCCTATTTACCTTGGAATATGTATAAACGACACACTTTTTTCAAATAGGTAATTCTACAATAATTTTATTTGAACAAAATACTACAAAAATGATTATGAAACAAAAAATGCAAATACACAGGGTGGCCCTAATTATTGTGAAAATCTTTTAAGCTATACATGACTTACAATTAAATTTTGAGTTGTAAATAATTTATTACAGCGTTTTCTTTCTTCTTATCACTTTCAGACCTGACTTTTTCTCCGCAAAAAAATAAATTATTTTTTTATTTATTCTTCTTAAAGAAAATTGTAATTGGCTAAAATAATATTTTTGAGATTTTTGTTTAACACGTAGTCGTTTGACAGCATGTCCATTGCAATGCACATTGGGACTATATTACGAATTTGAGAAAATATTCACATACAATATTTTTATTAAATATAGTATATTTGTTCCAAGAAAATGTTGAGTTAATTTAAATGAAAATATTTGAAACAATTCTGGTTCTTTACAAAACATAAAAATATGCGTTTTCCCTTTACAACCAGCATTTTTGCCTCTGGATGCTTCATTTTTGTTGTCATACTCGGCTAAATGATCTGTTTTATGCATCCTTATTTTCATAAGTGGTCTAGTTTCTACTCTGGAGTGTGGGGACAATTCTCATTTGACATTTTGGGATGACCAATATGGTGGAGTGAAACATGAAGAATTTTTTTTTTATTTTTTATTCGAAATGTTTTAGCGCGTAAAAATTGCTTACTGCATAAAGGAGTACCAGGTTTTTTTTATTTTTTTTTTCTATTATTTCATCTTCAGGGTTGTACAGGGTGAAACAAAAAAAAATAATTTTTTTTTCTAATGTAATTGCGCGGAAGCTAAATATATTAATGACTATTAGGCTTTTTACAAACTTTTATAGTTTCAAAAAGTCTTCTACATTTAAAAAGACAAGAAAATACAAATCCCTTATTTTATAAAAACTTTTAATATAGAAAACAATAAAAATCTTTAATATAGAAAACAAACCGTTTACTAAATAAACAGGTTTTCTTAAAAAAAAAGTTCAACCAAATATGATTATCTAGACTATTAAATGGAAATTAAACTGCTACTTGTCTTTAAATTCCTAAAAAAATGTATGCACTGTATTGCGCCTTAGTGTTAAATCGAGGTAATATGGCTCTTGAATGAATCCTTGCTCGAACAAATCCATCTCTGGAGTCATAGTCGAGGACAGAATTGGAAGCTTCTGTTACAATCTTCAGACATCTTTCTACTGCTTGAGTATGACAAGAAAATGACAAAAAATTAGTTGGAAAAATTTCTTCACCATTAATACATTTTCTAATATCCTCATCAGTTGTAGTAGATAAAAGGGGAGGAATTGTAACAGAGCAATTTTGCCAATCAATAAGTTCATAATATTCACTACCATTGAAATTTAAATCAGGAATTAAAAATTATCTTACATTTGTGTCCACAGTAGGTATTTTTGTGCGCGTCTTCAATATTCTGCGTAAGGCAAGTTGTCTTATGGCAGAACGATCATCAAAAAGCATTGCTAGGAGAAGGTTCTCCGGATGACAAAAATACGAATTTCTTTTGATAACAGGATCAATGTCGGTTTTTAACTTGTTTCTCAGGTAGCGTGACAATTGAATCATTTTAAAGACGTGTCTTGCTCCTTCACTACACGATGGCTTAGTTTTAATATTAAATCACACTGGCGCATAAACTTTTACCACAAATTCAGCCAAAGATCTTAAAACCAAAGACAGATTTTCACTTCCGAAGTAAACACGCAATATGTATATGATTTGCCTTTGTAACCCATCGTGCATGTGATAGTTTACCCGGATTACGAGTTGCTAAATCTATCGAGCACTTTCCACTAGAAACCGAATGACAAATTTCGTATAAGTATTTTTGATTACTGCTAAGGTCCCTTATAACTGCAGCATCTAATTGTGGTAGAGTGGTATGAATAGGAACAAAATGGATTACTGGCAAATTTCGGCAAGACTCAAATAGTTTACCCATTTTGCCAGAGTATTTACGAGGTCCCAAAGTTTCTCCATCGAGAGATTGAAAGATATGCCGGAGGAATAATTCATTCATGTGTAACAGACAAATTGACCACTGCAGAGGACGTTTCAGTTCTGTCTCTAAAAACCGTAAAACCCCATTCTTCCTCCCAGTTTTGACTGCTGTACCGTCGCAGCCTACTACTAAAAGATTACCTGTGCCAATATCGGATTCTTTAAAAAAATTAGTATAGATGTGGCAATATATCTTCCTGTACCTGACGTTGGAGTAATGTGATTTAGATATTTAAAACCTGGTTCTTCAAGTAACGAAATGTGTTCTTCGGTTTTTATCTTACAATGAAGTTTATCTCCAACCTTTTCTTGGCACAGAGTTTTATCCTTTCTGCCTGAACTTTTTTACTCTTAAATTATAAGTCTCATAACATTTTTGTTTTGGATATCTGATGAGAGTTTGGTACTTACTCAGGATATCACGAATTAATCGAATAATACGATTGCTTGATACAGTCGGAACTGAGGCTTTTTCCCAGATGGCTCCGATTTCACTGGTAACTAATTGAGAAATAAAATCCACAAGGAAAACAATTCCTGTAGCTGGCTGTATACCACGTATCACAAAAAAAGAGGTTAGTCTTCGTAAGTGGGTATATTTATTTAAAAACTCTTAAAAGGGCTACATAAAAAAAACAAATTTCAATCACAATAAAAGGCTGCTCTTAATTGCTCTATTCTTGAACGAATTTCTGATTTCCAATTCAGATCTTCTGTAATACAGACTCATAAGTATTTCATTTTGTCCACTTGCTCAATATCTTTATTTTTTATCTGGATCCTTGTACTGACTTTGCCCCACTTACTGATAACCATGGTTTTTGTTTTCTTTATGTAAATTTGTTTGGTAACGTCAGCATAACGGATGTTTTCACCATTTATCTTGATCCCATCTGTATAGTTTTCAAGTGCTTGCGTAAATAACTCTTCGGAATATATATTAAATAGTAACAGTGAAAGTACACAGCCCTGTCTTACTCCTCTACTTATCTGGTTTTTATTATTTTACATTAAAAATCCACAAGGAATCTACGTTCCTGTAGTTGGTTGTATACCATATATTAAAAAATTTATTAAAAATCCTTTGTAAAAGGTATATATAATATATACTTTTTACAAAGGATTTTTAATAAATTTTTTAATAAATATTTTACAGTAAATATATTCAGTAAATGATTAATACTTATTCCATCTATCTTTACTTTCAGATTCTTTTCAAATAATACAGTACTGGCCACTGGCGGTTTTGAACGGGCATATTTTTCGTGTACTGCCGCACACACCGTAACCGGCGACGGGACAGCAATGGTGTCTAGGGCTGGCTTCCCATTACAAGATTGTGAATTTATGCAGTTCCATCCAACAGGTAATTAAAATTAGGGTAAATGGTTGAAATATTTGCGTTCTATTTAATTAAAACCAACAAACACAAAGCCTAATTCACAAACACTATTAATTTTATTGCAGATATAGACTGGTTGTATTTGTAGGTTCAACGTTTGTAGTCGACGTTTTCAAAAGACAAATTTTATTGTTTTATTTACACGATTAATGAAAATTTGATTTTAAAAATAAACTTTAATTTTTTGATTAATTTATAGACTCTACACTAGACTTTGTTAATGTTGTTGAGTAACGGGATTAAAATTCGATATACACAATATCTAAATATTATACATATAAGGTTTTTAGACGATGATATCTATAATATAATACTGATGATATAATAGTCGTAGAGGTACCTAATGCTAGAATTTTTATCTCTATGTACATAATGTAAGATCACTTAAAAGTCTGATTATTGTTACCTTTGGCCAGTATTGCGGTATATTATCTCATGACTTAATTATTTTCAGGGTTAAAGCTCTGACAAGTCGATTTTTATTTTTGTTTTTTAACCTTTTTGTAAAAAAATAACTTTTATTCCCACTACCTTAGCAGATGTGATGTCATCGATAATTTTTTTCAAATAGAAATGACATTTTTATCTAAAAAATTAAAAGCCCCTATTTTTATGAGTACAACCGTACCAAATTCATTACATTTAACAATTACTAACAATTACAGTAAACAATTACTCAACAAATAACACACATTTCAAAAATATATCTCTCGAATAAGTATAAATAGCTTTTAATAACACAATGGTATATTACATCACTTTCATTTAACAAACAATCACACACATATCCCTTCTTCATTGGATCAAATCTATCTCCTCAAGAACTTCCCGTTTACTGTCAAACAACTGCAATAATAGAATTGAGTTCTCCATTCAACAATACATAGTAGTTTCAACCATGTTCTACCATCCATCAATTAATAGAGTACCGGCATCATTTGTTTAACTTTGTATCGAGACCTGAGGATGCTTTGCATATTGTAGAAAGCGAAACCGGTCGTCTGATAGTTAAATTAAATTGATTTTGAGTAAGTCTTATTTATTATTTCTTTACCTATTTTTATTATACCTTAACATGAGCATAATAAATTGATTAATGTATGTTAGTGAGTTAGGTTTCCTTGCACCGTTTGTTGTTGAACTAGTCTCATTTAGCCAAAAAGTATTTCTATATAAACAAAACGGTAAGGTCCTCAGAGTTCCATAGCAAACTCTTATGCAGCTCTCTACTTAATTCGAAAGCAACTTTGCTATGGACGGCGCAAGCGCCTCATCACATCTCTATCGTATATACTTTTTTGTTTTAGGTTAGTAATTTTACAATTCATAATGTGTTAATAAACTACGTAAAATATGTTAATATTTTCTAAGAAGATAATACAATTTAGATCTATAGGAAGACTTATGTGATAGTCGATTCAATCAATATATATATATATATATATATATATATATATATATATATATATATATATATATATATATTTTTTTTTTTTTTTTTTTAATTTTTTATATGGTCAGTAAGCCCCCAAATATGAAAAATCGGCAGAGTGCTACAAAGTGCGCATAATGCCACTTAAAGGAGTGCGTTTTTGAGAGAGATGTGAATTAGTTCCTATGCACTAGAAGTACATTACTTTATTATATTAACATCTACATAGAAGTTGTTTAAAATTAAATTTTATATTAAAATGTCACCTTTTAAAGTCAAAAATAATTTTTGTTGACAGAAATATATTCAAAAACCAAAAACACACGCGATTTTTCTTTTTTGTCCTATAACTTTTTTCCATTCAACGGACATTGCTATATAGAAAAAAAACTTCTACCCTTTCACTTTAAAATTACGTGTAACAAAGGTCTTTAGGATTTTTTCTATTTTTTCACAAACATTGTTCTATGACTTTTTTCTACCAGTTTTAGGTATATTCAATGGTACATTGAATTAAAAATAGAAATAACCTGTAATAAATGGTCACTTGTAGAAGGTTCTATTATTAATTTTTAAGTAAGATACAGTTCTTTAAAGTTTTTTACCTTCTACGATGCTGTAAAGTAATGCCTATACCTACCCGTATACCTCCGTAGAAAAAGTTATGGGACAAAAAAGAAAAATAACGTGTGTTTTGGTTTTTGCTTCGTTTCTTTGCTATCATCGTCAAAAAGTGTCTAAATTAATCTTTTCATCTCTCCAGTTTGTCTTCTATATTCAGTTCTATTCATGTCTTCAATTATATTCATTTTCCAGGTATTTACGGTTGTGGTGTTTTGGTTACTGAAGGAGCTAGAGGAGAAGGTGGCTTTTTGCTAAATAGCAAAGGTGAACGTTTTATGGAAAAATACGCGCCAAAAGCTAAAGACCTAGCCTCAAGAGATGTCGTGTCGCGATCCATGGCAATGGAAATTATGCAGGGTAGGGGGTGCGGTCCTGATGGAGAGTATATTCACCTTCAATTGAGTCATCTACCAAAAGAGAAAATTTTACAACAGTTACCAGGAATAAAACAAACAGCAATGGATTTCGCTGGTGTGGACATATTAAGGGAACCTATACCTATTGTGCCTACAGTACATTACGCTATGGGAGGTATTCCGACCAATTATAAAGGACAGGCACTGACTCAAGTGGTAAGTATTTGTATTTTTAGTTACTTCAAGATATTCAAATATTAAACAAGTTAGCAAGTTTTTAGCTCACTTTACTATTGAATATAACCAACTAAACACAAATATATAATATTTTAGTTTATCTATCTGCCTGTAGATCTAGCCTATCAATGTCTTCTTATTATTGCTAAAAACATTTAATTCTAAAATTTAAATCAATGATTTAAATTTTACTGAAAACTGGATATAATCTGTTTTACTCGTTTTCGACAATTTAATATGGAAAACCAATGAAGTAAAATGAAACTGTAAATCAAATTACTAATGGCGGAGAGAAATCTATTTTCTAAATTAAACTTAATCAATCACAATTGAATTATAAATACGTAGAAATAATATATATTTATTCTCTAAAAATGTAAGGCCCCAAAAAAATAGGCTTGACTGACTACGACTTGACAAAAACCACCATCTTGGGTCAAAATTCTGGAGAGCCTTTTTAGTAAATGAGTGCACTCGTTCTTGTTTGTTAAAATTTAGAAAAAAGCGGTTCTTTCATTAAAACAGCAAAATGAGATTATAAACTAATTATAAAATCAATGTAATTGGCTAAATATAAAAAATAGAAAACCAAATTACCTACACATATTATTCAGATAAAAGTTTAGATTTAAAATTGAGAAAATACTTTTAATTTAGAATTTATATGGTTAAAAATAAAATTTGGTTAAATATTTAATAAAAAGTAAAAAATAGTTTTCCTCTTTATTTAATCAGACCTCGACATCTAAATTGTCTGCTAGATCTATAACTAGTATTTTCTCTTCGTCGTATGTGATAAGCTTTGCCCAATCATCTTGTATTAATGTTGCTATGTGCTTTACATAATTATCTCAAATTTCAGATATTGCTTTACTTAGAGCATCATTGCATACTTTTTGATAGCTGTATCTTCATGTCCATTTTCTCCAATGTGACAGCCATAATACTATTTAAAAATTCTCAAGATCAACTCCATCGAACTGTACTGACAGTGATATACACTGACAGTGTTATTACCTGATGCCCATGTTGTTGCAATAGTTTGTCTATATTGTACTTAACGTTTTGTTACTTCTTCAGACGACAAAGACTTAATAGCTCTGTTTTGCAGGATTTTTTTATAATTTATATTTTCTTTCAAGAAGTTTACGGATCAGTTTAGCAGATAAACAACAGGGTTTTCGTAGTTGAAGATCGTGTACAGATACAATATTCGTTATAAAACAAATTACTGAGAAATCACTAGAGTATAATAGACCAGCAATTCTGTGTCTGATTGACCTAAAAAAAGCGTTTGACAGAGTAAGACTCAAAGATGTAATTCATCTTCTGTATAATAGAGAAGTTCCCCTAAATATTTTAAAAACTATCGAAAACATCTACAAAATCAACAAAATGGAAGTCAGAATAGATGGATAACTTACAGAACCTATAGAAATGGGCAGCGGAATAAGACAAGGGAATTCATTGAGCCCCATGCTCTTTAATTTGATCGTGGATGAAATCATCAAAAGCGTTGGTCAACAAAGGAAGAGGATACAGAATGGAAAGTAAGCAAATCAAAATACTCTGTTACGCAGACGACGCAATAATGATATGCCAACATGAAGATAGTCTGCAAAGACTGGTCTACAGATTTAACACAATGACAATCTCATCTCAGAAAACCAAAACAATAGTAGTCAGCAAAGAACCAACCAGATGTAAAATAGAAATTGATAGCATCAGTATTAAACAAGTAATGGAAATAAAATATCTGGGAAATACACTATCTAGCTATGAAGACCTGGACAAAGATGTGAGAAATCAAGTACAAAAAGAAAATAGACTGACAGGAAGCCTTAATAACACTGTATGGCGAAACAGACACATTAACACATGAAATCAAGAATTTATAAAGCCAGTGTAGGACTAATATTGACTAAACAAGACCCGACAGAGCCATAATGCAAAGGCTACTGGAAACTGAAGAGATGAAAGTACTAAGAAGAATTACACTTCACCTGTAGTTAAGAGTAACTACTGAATTTTGCATTCAATTTAAAGAACATTCTATATTTTTTTTTACGAACTTTCCACCAGCTATTAAGAAATTTTAATAAATAATAATTATGAACATTTAAGTCTCAGTTAATCATTAAATAACAGTGCGAACCCATAATCCATTTAACCAAGAGCGGTTTGGTTAAATTTTTATTTTTTTTGTAACCTTTTTGTATTCTTGTAAAATTAGATCAGATTATTTTTTGTTATTTGGTGTAATTGTTATTCATTTTTTTTACTGTAATATCTCGAGATACGCCCTTAAAACTTTATTTGTGCATGATTGTATTATATATATTTGTAAAGGTATTTTCTAATTATATTACTGCTTATTTCTATATGTATACCACCAGTTCATAATTGATGGTGTATTTTTATCTTATGTGTACATTTAGCTACCGATATTATTTTGTTGTTGAATATATTGTTTTTGTTTTATGTATGCATTTTATTTGTCGACACCTAACAAGTTTCCTGATTTAACCATAACTCTAAATATTTGCTTTTTACCTTTAAATATATACCTTCGACCAGAAGAAAGATCAGCCCGATTAAATTTCGTAGGTAAGTAGATGTAATACCTAATATATTTATTATTTGTTTATATAGTGTGATGACTAAATTTATTTAATAATTAACTGCTAATATCTTCTTTTGGGTTTGGTCTCTAAAGCAAAAATATCTTTCCTTACCTCTTTTCTTTTCTAAGGTTTCTTAATTTTCTCCTTAAACCCAAAAAAATTAAGTGGCGCGCTGTTTCTATCTTATCATATCTTTGGTAATTTTACCCATTTATCTTTTTGTTTAATTCTGTATCTTTTCTAATATATCTTATCTTGTTCTATCGTTACTTATTTCGTCCTTTGGACCCATTCCCGGTTCCCAAAGCGAGTTTCGAACCCACGACTTGCTCTCCACCAACCATCTGGCTGCCGCCCGCAGTATCTCCATTGGTGACCTTTCTAGCAACATCCAAAAAAGGTTTCCGAGGCTACAATGTTTTTACTTCCTGGCGTAAGGTTTTCTCTTGTAGGCCATTATTTTTGGGTCCAATGTTAATCTCGTGCTCGGCTGTCCCATTCAAAAATGAAGCAAGGATATTTAGTATAATCTGACTGTTGCCCAAGTAGTACACACAGAACTTTTAGATCTCCACAAAGCATCTAGTTAGCCTCGGTATTTAATTTTTCTAAGAGAAGTTCCAAGTTTTCGTATCTTTCTTTATGGTAAACAGAATTAGCGAACGGAATAGAAGCCAGTGTATTACCATTGTGCAGTAAAATACTTGTTAGACTACTTTTGCTAGAGTCGATAAATAGTCGCCATTCTTCCTTTTCATAAGAGGCAGCTCTTAGCTTAATAACTAAGTCTGAGATATTGTTACAATATACTAAAGAATCTTTGGGTAAAATATGGTCTTAGGTCCTTTTTCCGATTTCTGTAGAAACTGGTTGATGTACCTGGAGCCAGCAAATTTTTATCACGAAGTCTAGAGGCAGGAAGTTCCGAGGCATTTTTGAGAAAATTTAAGTCTTTTATTAAATCGTTTAATTCCATTTGATTAAATAGTTGTGGTTCTTCTTCTGCTTCAAAAGAAACGTCGAGATCTGTGGACTCAAATGCAGACTGTTCGAAATCAGACGATAACACATTCTCTAACTCCTTTGGTGGAATAGGTATGGGTACATCAGGGCCATGAGAAATAGGCCTAATAGCTGATTTTAGGTTCGAGTATAAATTTTTTTTATTGTTACAATTAAATCCCTTTCATCATCATATTTCCACATCATGGGACATCCAAAACTTAATGACTTTTTTGTTTCTTTTGTCCAACATCTTAAAGCTTCTACACAAACTTTACATACAATATGTGGTGCCCAAGATTTGTCGTGTTCTCCTATTTCCACTTCAAAATAGGCATGATAAGCATTACATAAGATTATGTTATGTCTTTGTTTTGCAACCACAAAACTTCCACAAATATAACAAAAGTCTATCTATCTATCTAATTAGCCTTCTTCGGTCCATCTTTGGACATAGGCCTCCCCAATTCTTTTCCATTCTTCTCTGTCTGTCGCTACAGTCATCCATCTAGAGCCCACGTGCTTCTTGATATCATCTGCCCATCTCATTTGGGGCCTTTCTCTGCTTCGTTTATATTCCCACGGTCTCCAACTTATAAGAATTTTGTTCCATCGGTCTTCTTTTTGTCTTATATTGTGTCCGGCAAATCTTCATTTCAATTTTGCAACTTCTTGTCTAACATCCCTCACTTTTGTTTTCTCTGTTATCCACTCGTTTCTCTTCTTATCCATTAGTCTTATGTGCAACATTTGTCTTTCCATTGCTCTTTGGGTTTTTGTGATTTTGTCCATGTTTGCTTTTGTAAATGTCCACGTTTGGGAGCCATACGTAAGAACAGGGAGTATGCATTGATTGTATACTCTGGTCTTAAGATGCTGTGGATATCTTTTGTTTTTAAGAATGTAGCTTAGTTTGCCAAATGCCGCCCATGCCAGTCTAACTCGTCTCTTGATCTCTGCTGTCTGGTTCTCTTTGTTAAGTTTTATAGTTTGACCAAGATATATATAATCCTTAACTTGTTCTATTTCATCTTGTCCGATTCTCATTGTGATGTCTTCATCTGTATTTGTTATAGTTTTGGTCTTGCTGTAATTCATATTAAGGCCTATCTTTCCAGCTTCTACGTCCAGTTTTTTCATCATTTCAAATAATTCTTCTTTTTTATCGGTTATCAATACGATGTCATCAGCGAACCTTAGATGGTTCAAGCGTTGTCCACAAATTTTTATACCTTTTTTTTCCCATTCTAATCTTTTAAAAGTATCTTTAAGAGCCTGATTGAAAAGTTTCGGTGATATTGTATCACCCTGTCTCACGCCTCTACTTATTTGTAATGATTTTGTTCCTTCATA